GACATTGTGATATTTTTGTGTTTATATTTAATTGGTGATTGTATGTTGGAGTGACTTGCCCACAATTTTCATTTTCTTTGTTTTATTTGTACGTTATCTATGTAAGCAGGGTACTGTGCTCCTTCCTCTATTTACTAGTTGGCAGCACTTATACTCTCACCACCTGTCTCCTGTTGTTAGCCTCCCATATATCCCTGCTGTCCTTGGCAAATGGAACCTATTCTTAGGTCACATTTTCATTCAGGTTTTTCCACTAGTCAGTGCCTCATCCACTTCTGTATACTTCTTTTCAAAGCTGAGGGCTCCAGGACTATCTTCTGTGTCTCTGTCAATTGGTTCCTCTTTGTTGAAGTGGGTCTGTGTAGCTTGTCTGCCTATTCCACCATGTTACTGGAAGTCTGGTCTTTTTTATGATTTTGAGTTTTGTTCCACATTTTTCTCCCACTCTATCTGGGATCTCCTGCACTGACTCCTTTCTGAGTGGTTGACAGTGGTAGCCAGGCATTATCTAGTTCTTCTGGTTTCATGGTCATATAGACTGAGGATCACATGGTCTACCAGTACCTAGAACTAATTGTTTCCATGCATCTTTGGCTTTTTTCATTAAGATAGAGTCTTACATAATGTAACCTAATCAACTGAGTCACAGCCCATCATCTTTACAATATTCTGTTGGTTAGAAGCAAATCACAGGTTCCTCTCACACCCAAAGAGGAAGGGATTACACAAAGGTGTGAAAAACTAACTAACTAACTAACTTATTGCCATTGAGTCAATGCTGACTCATAGTGACATCCATTGGGTTTCCAAGGATGTAAATCTTTACTGAAGCAGACCACCTCATCTTTCTTCTGTAGAGCAACTGGTTGGTTTGAACCACTGAGCTTTTCTAGTTAGCAGCCAAATGCCTTAACCACTATACCACCAGAGATCCTTGGTGTGAACAACAGGAGGCATAAATCATTGGGAGTCCCTTAACACTCACAGTCCTACAATAACATGGACATTTCTTTCTGGAATTATAAGTAGCTATTTATTGCCAGCCTGCCCTTAGGACTCCAGCAAGCTCCCAGATGGTAGATGTCATTGTCTTATTCATCTCTTGCCTTCCCTTAGCACCTTATATTATGTGTTCTGTATGATCATATGCTGGTTATTCTGTTTGCCCCTTCCCCATTCATTCTCCACCTTTCTCTGTCCAGCTGTAAGCCCCAGGAGACTGACCATCATGGATCTGATCACTGGGCTTCCCCTACCCTGTGGCTTCATTTAGAAGTCCTGAAGAAATCAGAGGGCAGAAAGGGAGAAATGTTGGGGTATTTATTCCCCTCACTCCTTCCCTATGTGTTTTCTTTTACCTTCAGCAAGCTCCTGCCCCACCAGTTGTTCCATGGAAGGAAGAAGAAGCAGTCTTCTGTAAGGATTTGCAGCCTTGAAAACCCAGTGGGGGTTGCTGTGAGTTGAAACTGACTTGATGGCAGTGGAGATTTTTTTTTTTTTTTAAATAAGGGAGACCAGGGTTCAATTCCCAGCCAGTGTACCTCATGTGCAGCTGCCACCCATCTGTTAGTGAAGGTTTGCATATTGCTATGGTGCTAAATAGGTTTCAGTGGATTTCCAGACTAAGATGGGCTGAGAAGAAAGGCCTGGTGATCTACTTCTGTAAATCAGCCAATGAAAACCCTGTGGATCACAACAGTCTTGTTCTGAAACTGATCATGGAGATGGAGCAGGACCTGGCAGTGTTTCCTTATGTTATGCCTATTCAGGGCAGCTAACAAGAGCTTCCATGGAAGCTGGTCTATCCAGGATAAGCTGCAAGGGAGAGCCCATTCTTAAGGGGAGGGGAGGAGATATCTGTGCAGACAGTGAAGACTCCAGATGTAGAGTCTGCCTCCCACCCCACAAAAGCTCTAAGTTCTGGAAGGGTAGAGATGGTTCTTGTTTATTGTTGCATCCCAAGGATCCAGCCCACACTCCAAGGATCCAGCCCACACTATGTGCTTAACAAGTGTCTACTGGATGACTGATAGAATGAAAGATTAAAGCTTCTAGTTGTAGATGGAGGCGTGCTGGTGGTGTGCTGGTTAAGGCATTTGGTTGCTAACCAAAGGGTCAGTAGTTTGAACCCACCAGCCATTCCAGGGAGGAAAAATGGGGCAGCCTGCATCCATAAAGATTTATAGCCTTGGAAAACCCACTGGGGATCACTGTGAGTTGGAATCAACTCGATGGTGGTCAATTTGGTGTTTTTTGTTTTTTTGTTTTTTTTTTGGGTTGTAGATAGTAGACTGAAAATTTGCCTTTCTCTGCCTCTCCAAAATCCCACTAAAATGACAATAAATGTTTTTTTTTTTTTTTTTAAGTTACAAATCTACAAAGAAACAGAATACAACAGACAAGAGATACTAGTAAATTTTTGGAAAACAAAAGGTCAATGGACAAGTGGTAACTGTCTTATCAGAGTGGAGAAATTTGAAACCAAAATACCTTCAAAAAGAAAGGTGTGGTTGGTAGAATTATAGTGCTTACTCTTAGGAGCTCTGGTAGCATAGTGGCTAAGTCACTTGACTGCTAACCAGAAGGCTGGCGGTTCAAACCCACCAGCCACTCCTCGGAAGGAAGGTTGGGCAATCCTACTTCCGTAGTGATACTGCCTCGGAAACCCAAGGAGGGGTCGCTATGAGTCGGGGCCGACTCGATGGCACATAACAACAACAACAACAACTCTTGCCACAGAGCTCTGAGGTTTAGGTGGTGTGTGCAACAGGTACTTCTGAAGACTGGGGTACAGGACAGGGCCTGAAAATAGGAGGACTTCTTAAAGATTTGTAGAAGGGGCAATTACCTTCCCAAATGTGCCCATAAGCCAGTTGGACAGGTTTTTCTGGTCATCTATCCCTCCCTGACACTGGTTGAAGGTTATTCTAGAGAGTGGGACCAGACAGGCTCTAGTCCTCCAAGCACAGCCAGGGAAGCAGAGGGGCCATTCTGAAAACTAAAGAGTCAAGAGAAACTCTGCATACTCTAGAGTGAGACTCCAGCTCCTTCCCATGTTGTCTCTGTCAACACTGACAACCAGGCAGGAGGAGCGATCTGGTACAAACGTTAAATGGCCTGGTCCCAGCCAAGGGTCACCATCAGGCATTCAAGGAATGAGACCCTACAGTAAAAACAAGAGTAACTGAAAGAAATGGAGATAATGCAGGGAACAGAAGAAAAAAAAATTAAAGAATGCCTGAATATTCTTAATTCAAAGATAGAGTCTTGTTTGTCTTTTTGTTCCTGGTACTCACCACTGTGCCTGGAATATATTGTTGCTGTTGTGTGCCATCAAGTTGATGCTGACTCATAGCGACCCTATAGGATAGAGTAGAACTGCCCCGTAGAGTTTCCAAGGCTGTAAATCTTTATAGAAGCAGACTGACATATATTTCTCCCAGGGAGCTGCTGGTGAGTTCAAACCATTGACCTTTTGGTTATAGTCAAGTGCTTAACTGCTGTGCCACTAGGGCTCCTTTGGCTGGAGCATAGTAGATGCAAATAAATGTTTGCTAAACAGTTCAATAATAGCTGAATACCAAAACTTGGACTACACTATTAGGGTAAGCTCTAGGAAGGCCTCTCTTTCTTCCTCTCCCTTTACCATCTACTTTTCAGAGGAAAGGAGCTCTGGTAGCATAGTGTCTAAGGCACTTGACTGCTAACCAGAAGGCTGGCAGTTCAAACCCACCAGCCACTCCTCGGAAAGAAGGTTGGGCAATCTACTTCCGTAGTGATACTGCCTCGGAGACCCAAGGAGGGGTTGCTATGAGTCAGATCTGACTCAACGGCAGTGAGTTTGGTTTTGGTTTGGTTTTTCAGAGGAAGGCATCCAGCAAAACTGTAGAGGTTGGTCATGTCATTGGCTGCTTATCTGGGAGTCCCAAGCATCCTGTCCCTCCTTCCCACACTTGCCCCAATCTCTTGCACTCTACAAGTATGTTCTACTGGATACATTGCCATACCTAGATTTTCATTTCACTCCTAGAAATGAAATCAGCTGAATGCACCCAGTGGGGTACTGATAAATCCTCAATAACTGGCTCTCTGGAAAAAAAGAGACCCCTATTTGTAGGCATTTGCTAATTTCTGTGATGCAAATATTCTCACTATGGCCAGTTCTGAGGTACCAACATGAAGCCACTGAATGTGGAGTTGGGAAGAGGAAGGGATGCATACAGTTGTCTCACAGACCAGTATGAGCTGCTAGCACACCACTGGATTCACCCTGGGTGGCAGAGAACATGGCTCAGGCCACTGCTGTGGGTCAAGTACCCTCTGCCTCATCTTTCTACTCCATGAGCCAAGACCCATCAGCCTAACTAACCCCAAGTTGCCTCTTCGGGACCAGAGAAGAAGATATCCAGATTGGGGAGCCCACCTCTTACCAAGAAACCACAAGTCACAAGAGGTATACGTAAAAATAGAGCCAGGGAGGGGACTCCCTAGAGACTGTATTCACTCCCTGTATTACTTCCCCATTCTCCAGAGGCTGCTCATACCCAGGAGAGGAGGAGTGCATAATAGGGCAGTTGATATACCTCTTATCTTTGAAGGAGTTGCCAAACCTGGACCATGAGAAGTGTGTGGCCACCATGGGCTTTGCTTGGGACTTAGGCTCTGGAGGGGAGTTAGGGGTTCTTTTGGGGTAAGGTGTCTAAAAACCAAGTCCATCCACATCTTCAGGCTCCTTTGAACATAACCTTTCTGTATAACACACCCGTAGTCTCAATTTATCCACCTACAGTCACCCATTCAGATGCGAGGGAGAGGAAGGACCAGACTTTAATTGTTGCTAAAAAGAGACACCTCCCTCTGCTACCTCTGACAAGTTGGTGTGGCACAGCTATCCTAGCCTAGGCAAGGGCTACTCCTCCTGAGTGAGCAGGTCTTCTCCTCTGGGGCCCAGGGTCATGGGGGTTTGGGTGCAGGGCCAAAGGCTTCTGTCTGGCACAGGCTCAGTTGCGCCATAAGACCAGGTTGGCAGAAGGCACGTCAAAGCGCTTGCGGGTGTGGTCAGTGTCCCGGCGGTACAGGTAACCACAGGTAGGCTTCTGTACAGTGTAGAAGGGGTTCAGGGAATTGGAGTACTGGGAGTTGTAGAAATTCAATCTGAGCTTGTCCAGGTTCTGGCCCCTGGGGTCCACCACCACCGGCACGTAGGCCTCTGCCAGAGACTGTCCTCGGTCCCACTTCCACGTCCGGGACAGCAGCAGTTGTGGAGTCTTCACTTTTTTGCCTGTTGGTGTCTTTGGCCCATGACTGGGTACTGAAGTTTCCTGTGAGTCCTGGGGGTAGGAAGAGAAGAGGAGAGCTGAGGCATTAACCCTACGGCATTGACTGCTAGGGCCAGGGGTGGAAGAGGCCACCACCCAAAAGCCCACAGAGCCATCCTGGTGCACAGCTCTGCTGGCCACTGAGCCAAGACTCCAGAGCAGGGAGAGAACATTTAAGACCCTTGATCTGACCCTTGGAAATGCAGACCTCTGTATATATCAGAGTTCCTGAGTGGTGCAAACAGTTAACGTGCTCAGCTGCTAATCAAAAGGTTGGAGGTTCAAGTTCACCCAGAAGCACCTCAGAAGAAAGGCCTGGTAATCTACTTCCAAAAAATCAACCACTGAAAACCCTGTGGAGCACAGTTCTTCTCTGACACACATGGGGTTGCCATGCGTTGGAATCGAATAGACTCCACAGCAACTATTTATGTCTGCTTATCAGAGGTATCCACCAGCTCACTAAGACTGAAACCTGGGGATTATCTTCAAAACCTCCCCTACCCCTGACCTCACATCACTCTCATTAGCCCCACTGTCTCCTCCCACCGCCACTGCTCCCATCAGTCCTCATCCACCTGCAGGGTTGTCCAGCTTTCCAGCAAGTCTTCCTGCCGCCCAACCTTGTGCCTTTTCAGCCTGAGCTTGACACTCACACCAGAATGAATATTTCTGGTTTACTGGCCAGATTCTATTGCTCTAAGGAGCCCCAGAGGTACAGCAGTTAAATGCTTGGCTGCCAACCAGAAGGTCAGCAGTTCAAACCCACCAGCCACTCTGTGGGAGAAAGATGAGGCAGTCTGCTTCTGTAAAGATTACAGGCTTGGAAACCCTATGGGGCAGTTCTACTCTGTCCTATCCAAAACCAAACTCACTGCCACTGAGTTGATTCTGACTCATACTGACCCTCTTTATGTTTCCAAGGCTATATATAAATCTTTATGGAAGCAGACTGCCTCATCTTTCTTCTGTGGAGCAGCTGGTAAATTCAAACCACCGACCACTCTGTCCTATAGGGTCACTATAAGTTAGAACCAACTGATAGTAGCGGGTTTTCGGTCTATTGCTTTCCCCCTCAAAGCATCTTTTGTTGTTGTTGTTAGTTACCACTGAGTGGATTCTGACTCATGATGACCCATGTGTGCAGAGTAGAACTCCTCCATGGGTTTTCAAGGCTGTAACCTTTCGAAAGCAGATCACCAGGCCTATCTCTCAAGATGCCTCTGGCCGGTTTGAACTGTCAATCTTTGGGCTCTAGTCAAGCACTTAACCACTCAGAGTCTCTTTTTCTCTGTAAACCAAAACAAACCAAACTCATTGCTGTCGGGCCAATTTCGATGCATGGTGCCCCTAGAAGACAGAGTAGAACTGCCCCGTAGGGTTTCCCAGGCTGTAATCTTTATGGGAACAGACTGCCACATCTGCTAGTGGAGCGGCTGGTGGGTTCAAACTGCTGATCTTTGAGTTAACAGCCAAGCGCTTAACCACTGTGCTACCAGGGCTCCTTTTCTGCTCTCTCAAACCAAAAACCAAACTCACTGCCATTGAGTCAATTCCAACTCATAGTGACCTCCATTGAGTTTCCAAGGCTATAAATCTTCATGGAAGTAGATTGTCCCATTTTCCTCCCTGGAGTAGCTGGTGGGTTTGAACTGCTCTCTGGTTAACAGCCAATGCCTTATCCACTACACCACCAGAGCTCCTTACCCCTTTGAAAATAAAGCCCTACATCCCCAGCCTGGAACTCCAGATCTTCAAGAATGTGGCTCTGAACTCTCCAGTTTTGCCGTCTCTCCTCCTACCCTGTGTTCCAGCACTGCTAGTCCACTTATTACTCCCTGAGCACAGGGAGTGTCTGTACCTCTGTGCTCTTGCCCAGGCTGTCTCCCCAGCCTGCAATGCCCTCCCTACCAGTCATTAGGAAAATTCTGTCTTTCTCATTAGATGGTAAGCTCCTTAAGGGCTTTCTCTAATCTTTCTATCTCTCTTACCGTTGACATACCAGTAGCCTCCCAAATCCTCCAAATTCCCTCTCCTACTCCAGGCCAAGGCACTCAGAGAGTGCTCAATAAATGTTGGTTCAACTGGACTGAATTCTAGTGAAGGGTAGCTCACCTTCCAACCAGCCAGCCCATTCTATTTTAGAACACCTCTCATTGTTACAAAATCTTGTCAATAATGCCTGCCTCCCCTTAACCCCCCCTCTTGGTCCATCAGGTGTTGGGGGCTACCCACTTTCTAGGAGTCCCCTCATTTATCACACTGTACTGACTTTTATTAACTCCTGTTGCCGTCCTCCTTGACAGCTCTGTGACTGAACTATCTTGTTCACATCCAAATCCCCACACCATCTTCCAGGTAACAGACGTTCATTCTACTAATGCACTCTCAGGGTTGTACAGGTGCCCTGTGAATTAGTGCCTCCTTAAATTTTGCACCTTAGGCACTGTGATGCCTCATCCTAGGTGTGGTTGTTCTTTGTTGGGATCCTGCTAACATCCCAACAGCCTGTGAGCCTCTCTCAGCAGCCAGGATCACATCCCATTCATCTCTGTATCCCTCAGCCTTAACCCAGGCTGGCACACAGCCAAGCTGGACAGGGAGGTGAGTACAGCAGCTCCCCCAGACTCTCCCAGGCTCAGCCCTGGGACTGCACTGAGATTACAGGCAGCTGGTCAAGCACAGAAAATGAACTATAATGCTGGTAACCAATAGTCATTTTCTACCACCACTTAGGAGCACTGACCAAACCTTTTAAGTGGATTCTCTTTTTCTAATCTTCACATTAATCTTGGAGGAAGGCATTATTATGAGCCTCACTTACTATCGAAAAGACTAAAGTTGAGAGATTAGGAACATGTTCAGGGTTACATGGCTGTTAAGGAGCAAGGCTGGGATTTGAACCTGGGCATTGCTGACTCCAAGGACCACACCTTACACTCCATGACACATCTTGTGCCCACTGCACTCTGGGAACTGGGCCTGCAAGGGGCCATTCATCTTTAAGTCATTTCTGACCTCATTCTGTTAATTGTTGCTGAGTTCCACTGGGTGCACTGGGCAGTAGGTGTTCAGTGGCTGTCCTCCATAGCTTCCAGTCTTGTTAGAGGATGAGGCAACCAGATTCCCCAGTTTGGCAAGAACGCTGCTGGGTTTGAACTGTGCAGGACTGAGGCTCAGGGTTCTCGGACCCTGTGTGGACAGGACAACACACTGTTCAGTGTGCAGTTTACTGTGTGCATCACCAACTCTTAGCAGAAATAGGGCTAGGGCATTAGCTGCTTCATTCATTCGTTCAAACCATTCCTGAAACTATCTTTATGGGATCAAGTTGACGACAGCAACTCAGAGGATTACATAGGACCTTAGGGGGCAATGAGTTTATGTTAAGGGGGGAGAAACAGCTCAGGAAAGGAGGGTGAGAATGGTTGCACAGCTCAAAGCATGTGATCAGTGTCACTGAATGTACATGTAGAAACTGTTCAACTGGGATATGTTTTGCTGTGTATAATGCTCTCAACAACAGCAACAACAAAATTCCTAAACACTTGCTGCTGAAGATTAAAAACTATAGTCTGCAGTACAGATTACACCTCAACATTAAAAAAAATGAAAATCCTCACAACTGGGCCAATAAGCAGCATCACGATAGATGGAGAGAAGATTGAAGTTGTCAAAGACTTCATATTGCTTGGCTCCATAATCAACACCAATGGGAGCAGCAATCAAGACATCAGACAATGACATATTGCATTCGGCAAATCTCCTGCAAAAGACCTCTTTAAAGTGCTGAGGAACAACAATGTCTCTTTGAAGACTAAGGTGCCTAACCCAAGCTATGGTATTTTCAATCACCTTATATGCATGTGAGAGCTGGACAATGAATAAGGAAGACCAAAGAAGAGTTGATGCTTTTGAGTTGTGGTGTTGGCAAAGAATACTGAAAGTACCATGGACTGCCAGAGGAACTAACAAATCTGTCCCAGAAGAAGTACAGTCATAAAGCTCTTTGGAAGTGAGAATGGCCAGACTTTGTCTCACCTACTTTGATCATGTCAGAAGGAGCCATTCCCTGGAGAAGGATATCATGCTTGGTAAAGCGGAGGATCAGCGAGAAAGGGGAAGACCCTCAACAAGATGGATTGACACAGTGGCTGCAATGATAGGCTCAGGTATAGCAAGGATTGCGAGGCTGGTGCAGGACTGGGCAATGTTTCATTCTGTGGTACATAGGGTTGCTATGAGTCAGAGCCAACTCAACAGCACCTAGCAACAACAAGAAGCACCTCTTGGGTGCCAGGCTCTGCATGTTAAGGTAACAAAGACACCACAAAGATGAATGTCATTGTCGCTGTAAAGCAAGGTTCTCAACCTTGGAACCACAGGCATTTCAGGCTGGGTAATTATGGGGGGTGGCAGGTACATTGTAGCATGTTCAGCAACATCCCTGGCCTTTACTCACCAGATTCCAGTAGCAACCCCTCCCAGCTGTGACAACCAAAACTGTCTCTAAATGTTGCTAACTGTCCCCTGGGGGCCGTGAGAACCACTGCTTTAGAGTCTATGACAATCTCTCCATCCTCCCTGTTTCAAAGTCTAGGCTTACAGTCTGGCTCAGCAGATTCTCCCTTTTCAGAACCACAAGAAGTAGCTCAGGTTTCTTCGTGTTAAGTATGATTCTGAGGATGTGGGCTTCTGGCCCTCCTGTCACCATAAAAGGGCTCAGCCTGTGGCCATAGAGGTGTGGAACTGCAGAGGTCTCCCTTGTCATCTCCTCAACCAATCCACTGCTGCTTCCCACCATCTCTTTAGTGTTAGGGCTACATTGGCCCCTCTGCAACCCCTCAGGCTACAGAGGTGGTGTTGGCATTGACAGAAGCAGGTGCTTTCAAAATGGGTAGGGGTGGAAGGAGCTGATCAGAAACCCCATAAAGGGAAGGGGGTAGAGTCTTTGCTAACACAATTGAGCATCTACCAAGTGCCAGACACTAATCACTCAGATCAGCAAAATCTCCCAAGTGCGATTTGAGTTGTTATCCCATTTTTCAGATAACAAAACTGAGTCTCTAAGGAGTCTTAGCATTTGTGTAGGTTCACACAACTAGAATGAGGTACCCTATAAGTGCCATTACTTTGCAAAAGTCCCAGGACTTTGCAAAAGTCCTATTTCAAGTCCTATAATAGGACTTGAATGTTCCCCTCTCTCTCTGCTCTACCTTAGGCCCTGGGTCAGGCCCACCTGCCCTGGGCCTACCTGCCAGCTAGGCTTGAGCTGCTGCTACAGTACCTAGGGCCCTGGTCACTGAAGAGAGGCTGAAGAGAGGAAGGCACATACCTAGGACCCAGCATATCCAGGGATGAGGCCCTGACAGAAAATAGGCTAGAAGAATAATCCAGGGAGGAGGTGGAAGAAGAGAAGAGGAAGGAGGAAGAGAGGGCGTTGTGGGAAGAGGAAGAAGGAGCCTGGGCAGCTCTAGCCAAGGCCCTGCTCCATGCAGGGGCCAAACCAGGCTCAAAGTGACTAACCTCAGAGGACAGGAACACCCCATTCCTCCCCAGGGCTCAACTGGGCCAGCTCTGGTGGAGGGTGGGGCCTGATTACATACTTTCCAGGTTAACATCAGGTTTCATTTAACCATCTCCTCCCCTTCTCAAGTCCTCCCTGTCAAGTGCACTGCATGTGTGTCTGTGTGTGGGAGTTTAGAGCAATGGACAACAACCAGGGGTGATCCACCCATCAGGGTACATTTGCCCCCAGCCACTCCTCGGAAGGAAGATGGGGCAATCTATTTCTGTAGTGATACTGCCTCAGAAACCCAAGGAGGGGTCGCTATGAGTCAAGTCCAACTCGACGGCACATAACAACAACAACAACAGAGATATTTTTGGTTGCCACAACTTGGGGTTGCTAGTGGCATCTAATGGGTAGAGGCCAGGGATGTTGCTAAACATCTTGTAATGCACAGGACAGCCCCTACACAAAGAATTATCCAGACCAAAATGTCAGTAGTGTTGAGATTAAGGACCTCTGGTTTAGAGGTTTGGGGAAGACCGCTCCCCTTCTCCACCTGCTTCCCACAGCCTTCATTAAGCCTTTCATTCCACAGGACACAATGAAGCTTAGAGGGCAAGTGGAGGGTCTTACCAGCTCCTCCCTTACCTTCTGAATCCTACTATCCTATGTTCACTTGGGTTTAAAGCTAGAGCCAAGAGAAAAGGAATCTGGACAGGCAGACCCCACAAAGGCCTTTCAGATAACCCAGATTGGCCCTAACCATTGTAGCGTGTGTGTCCCTCATATCAAGGTTTAGAATGGGGAAGAGGTTGATTTTCAAGCATTGGGCTTTCTAAGTAGGGTGAAAAGACCTCATTTGTGATATCACTACAGGTCTTACAGACCAAAACCAAACTCCCTGCCATCAAGTTGACTCCGACTCAGTGACCCCCATTGGGCTTTGGAGGCATAGTTCCTAAGGTATTTGACTGCTAACCAGAAGGCTGAAGGTTCAAACCCACCAGCCACTCCTCAGAAGGAAGGTTGGGCACTCTACTTCCTTAACGATACCGCCTAGGAAACCCACAGAGGGTCAGATCCAACTTGAAAGCAGTGATTTAAATCTTTATGGAAGTAGATCACATCTTCCTTGCTGGTGGGTTTCAAGGGCTGATCTTCTGGTTAGCAGCCAAATGCCTTAATGCCTTATCTACTACACCACCAGAACTCCTGATAGATCTTATAGGGAGACGTATAGTTTTCTGTCTGCTCAAACACTCCAGGCCTATACATACATGTTTACATCCACTAACCTAGCCCATGCCTGAAATCCCACCATTATTAGCATCTGTCTGGTGGAAGGACTTGTGCCTTGCTGAAATGCAAATAGCACTTGGGTGAGGCAGCTGGTTGAGCCTCCAGGGGAAGCTTTGGAGTTTGAAGTTCTGAGCTCAAATCTGAACTGCCCTTACAAGTCAGGCAGCCTTCGGCAAGTTGCTGAGCCTC